AAAAAAAACAGAAAAAAACAGATTCACCCATCCACACATTCGAGGTGGAGAGTGAAATCTTCTTTCCGCTGTGCTATTTTATTCTGACAGCAGGACTCCTCCACTCTCAGAATACACTGAGCAGCGCTGCAGCTGATTGGCTGTATGTACTTACTGAACTCAAATTTTCCAACATATCCATTTTAGAGGCACTAGGTGACTCCTCTAGAACAGGAACGGCCATAGACAGATTGAAATTCAGCAAGTCCCTGCTGAAACGGCCAAACTTTGATCCATCTATGGCCAGGTTTAGGCTGTAAATGTTTGGTTCGTGGCTTTCTGCCCTGGTGATAAGATGGTCATAATGCCAATATTTACACTTGTAAGATGCATGTATAACAAAATGAAAAACTTTCCTAGGAAATAGTACTGTGTGTGTCAGTAAATACAGGGAAAGGCCAAAATCACCGAATACATATTCAGTTAGATGGCTCAATGCATACCATTTTTTTAATTAACCGCCTCCCACCTGCCATATAGTCCAATGACGTGTGCAAGGTGGTTCTCTCATTCTGGGAGGACGTCATATGACGTCCTGCCATTCTCACTGCGCATGTGCGGCTCAGGGGGCGTGCAGTGCGGCGATCGGCGGTGTGCTGTGTCCCTCGGACACAGCGGATCACCGATCACGGAAAGAGCCGAAGATGTTGGCTCGGTCATGTGATCAGGTGTGTCCAATCACAGCTGATCACATGTAAACGGGGAAATGCCGGTTATCAGCATTTCTCTCCTCTCGAGCTGTCACGCTGACAGAGGAGAGGAGAGCCAGTAATCGGCTTTCCGCGGAGGGGACATGTACACTGATCATCAGGGCACTGACTGCGACTGCAGGACTGCGGCGGACATTCTGACACTGGGGGGGAACTGACTTGGCGTCACTGACATCCCCAGTGACACCAAGACAGTGATCAGGGCAAAAAAAAAACACTGACACTGTACTAATGGCACTGGGGAGGAAGGGGTTAACTTTTTTATTCACTGAAAGGGTTAACTGTGTGAGGGGAGTGTTTTACTAGGGGGCGGGGGTGTGTACTGCAGGGAACACGGCTGATCGGGAGAGAGAAACTCTTCTCTCCGGCTCAGCATGTCAGGAGCTGACAGGGAACTGACAGAGAGCAGAGCTACTGCAGCCCTGCTCTCTGTCAGTGATTGCCGCTAATCGGCGGGACACAGCCAGTAATGACTGGCTGGGACCCGGCGATGGACACCCGTGGCCACGATCGGCGGCGCAGGTAGGGCGGTGGCGCGCCCCACACCTGTTTTGCAAAAGCATGTTTTAAAATGTGGTTTTGCGCAGCCGTGCCACCCTGCCAACGTATTTCTACAGTGGCTGGGTGGCATGTGGTTAAATGTGCCCAGTAAATCACCTCTCCCTATAGAAGAACCATCATACATGCGTTACACCTTATATTATGCTAAAACATGATATACTGTGCTTTACGATGCCATCCATGAAGGTTTTCTAGAAATAGTTATGGATTATTAGCATTACTTTATATTTGGTGACATTTTACCTGTATTTTTCGCAGCTTTTCTTTTCCTTTGCCAGACTGAATTGCTCCCATTAAAGCACTATGCAATGAGATGTCTTTTTGCACAGGTTTTTGGACCACAGGTCGAAATTTTGCTTTAGGTCCGAAAACACTGTTGCTGCCAGAGTTGTCTGGCTCATCTATTATTGTAGAAGGTATGGTGTCTACTTCACTTTTATCTTCTTTCTCAGTTATTGTTACAGTAGCTATTGGTGCTTTTGTGGGTCCAAATGCATTTTCTTGTTCTATTTTCATAGACTTTTCTCTGACGGCTTTTAAAAAGGCATTGGATGGCACATTAGATGTTGGACGAATGCGGGACAATACAACTGCAGAATTTTTTTTCCGTTTTTTCCAACACAGTTATATTTCCCTTTGCAGGGCCGTTAAATTGCTGTGTTCTAGATAACAAATCATCTTTTTTAACCTCAGTGGGTGTTTCCTCACTGAGATTGCTGCTTTTATTAGTTGATTTCATTTTATTTGTCAACTGACCATCCTTGTTGCCATGGTTTGTATTCAATTCTGTAGATATTTCTTGTTTAGCTGCAGATTTCATTTCTTTTTTTGGCTCCTCTGGGGTAGAGTTTATATTATCTATTACGGAGGATGCCACGGAAGCGGAGCTTTCGTTGTTGTCATTCAAAGAATCACGTTTGACCTCTGAAGCTTCTAGTGTTTTTTTATTTAAAGGTTCTGTATATTTGAATATAGCAGATGCCACATATTGGCTCGATGTCCTCTTTGAAGGTTTCAAAAATGGAGGTTCTGGTTTTGCTTGATTTGATTTTTCAATAATAATCACCTTTTCTTGGGAAGTTGTTGATAACAAATCTGGTTTGGTCTGTTTTGGTCCTCGGATCCTGTCACTGATGGCAGGGCCATGATCCAATTTTCCTTTATTTGTGTTCTGTTTAATAGTCTCATTTGCTTGCCTGGGTTGTTTGTCATTTAACGTAGGTCTTAAAAGTGGCACGTCTGTTCTTGATCTTGATCGTGTTTTCAATAATGATGACATTTTCCTGGGGAACGGCTGTTGGTACTGGTTTGTTCTGGTGCAATGTGTTATCCCTGTCATTTAGTTTATTAACAGGTATTGGCTGTGTTAATGGTTTTGATGAAGTAAAAATTGATCTGTTATCCACAGTTTCATTTGGCTTATAATTCTTGAGAGAAGCAATCCGTTTACCAGGCTGCTCTTTTGATTCCCCTCCTTGTGCATCCATTGAACTTGATCTCCAAAACTCTTTAGCTCTTGCAACCAGAGGTTTTTCCACAAGTGGACTTTCTGTGTCATTCGCAAAATTATCACTTTTGTCAAAAGATGACTGTGGGCTTATTAGATTCCCCTGATCATCTATCTTGATGGCACTTGAAGTAAGGGAAACGCCTCTATCATATTTTTTAACAGTGGGCTTTGGAGGAACCACTGTAAATGTGGTCATGCCAACTTTTGGTTCATACGTCTGTTGGCGCCACAGATTTGGTTTTGGTGGTGGCTTCTGCTGCCTTAGTATTGTTTTGTGGAGCCTGTATTTCTTTGATTCCCAATTTTTGTCTACTTTCAGGCATTAGGTTAGCTTTATCCTTATCTTGCTTTGATTCGTTTTCTGTTTTTATGGGCAAAGCTGACACAGGTGGATTAGATGATACATTTTCAATGGTATTTTTGGGCCTGTTAGATGTATTGGAACTAAACTCACTTTTAAATGAAGTTTTTTTGGGGGTATCTGCAGACTGTTTAAAACTGTTGCCACCGGGCTTCGCTGTTGGAGAGTTGGGTGATTGAACGTTGCTGTGTGCTGTGTACGTTTTTCTTGAAACACTTTCACCATGGGAAATAAAACTGTCATTTTTGGGGCTGCCTACAGAAGTAGACTGTTGCATTACATTGAAGTCATTTGCAGGTGGAATTGTATGTACACTATACTTCATACTGTATGTGGAAACTTCAGGAATCTCATCTATAATGGTGACAGGTACAGCAGCACCACTTTCCTTGTACTCGTAAACCTGTCTGGATTCCTCTCCTACTGGACTGGACCGAGGACTGATATGATTGCTTTTAATGTGGTCCCCATCATCCATATCTGTAAAATAATATACATTTACATTCATCTACATTTCACTGACATGATTAAGTACATATTTAAAAAATGTTTTATATGAGGAATGTTCACACAGATGTTTAAAAAAATATTAATTTACTATTTTCTTTTCTGATGCCTAACAATGTGAGTGGATGTTCACAGGAATGAATGTCCAGAACATAATGGTTTCCCACATTTATAAAGCTGCCAGAATCCTATCGGGGTTAACCCTTTGAGGACCGTAAGATTTTGGAACGCCAAAAGAATCAATTTTTTTGTTTTTAAAGTTCGTACACTTCAGTTGCTGTAACTAAGCCATTTCATGAAATAATTGGCAAAAAGCTACATCCATTTGTTGTTTGTTGATAAAAACTAATATTTTGACTCAAACCAAAAAAAAAAGAGTTTTAAATTCTTAATCAGATGATACACGCAATTAAAAACATGGGACAAATACGTCCCTTGGTCCTCAAAGGGTTTTAAGCGACTTGTTGAAGGGCTTGTGGAGAATATTTATGTCTACACGTAGACCCTTGATGTAAGCTATTGCGCTCAAAGCTGGTTTGGTGATGTCCTGGCTATTGTGGTTGGATACTACTGCAAAATGCAGTAGACATTTGGTAGCCCCAAAAGATTTGGAATTAAACAGAGGAACCCCCATGGATAAAGGATAACAATATACGAGGTGTTCTTCAAAACGTTTCTGCACTTTTTCTATGTATACATATCTATGTATAAAAGTGTGCAAACTTTTTGAAGACCCCTCGTGTATTTTTAGGCAACATTATTAAAATACCACTGCATTGGGATTTCATAATATATCTTATCTCCAAGAAATATGTTGATGGTGTTTGAACCTAGTTTCTATTAATATACTGTATAACCTTTTACATGGAAGAATAATCACAGTCTATGCCATCTTACTTACATTAGCAAAAAGAAACAAATTACGATACTGAATTAGTGAATAAAAGCACATGGTGTACTTTCTACATGGCGCGCCGACCTAGTGCATTATCGTTTAAAATAATTTATTAAAGAAACAAAAATAGATATCATACTCACAATGGACATAATAACACAGGCATGTCAAACTGAACAAGACGTATGAGCCAAACAACATCTGAGTCCATACGATGAAACCCTGATGAGCCTGAGGAAGAGGTTATGTTCTCGAAACGCGTTAGCCAGTTGGTCATCCAGGGTTCCATCGTATGGACTCAGATGTTGTTTGGATCATACGTCTTGTTCAGTTTGACATGCCTGTGTTATTATGTCCATTGTGAGTATGATACCTATTTTTGTTTCTTTAATAAACTATTTTAAACAATAATGCACTAGTTCGGTGCACCCTTTTTCTGTTTCTCCATTTGTATCCAGTGTATTTGGACCACCCCGGTCTGTTGAGGGCAGCAAGCAGTGCATATTCCAGAAAATTCCAGAACATTCCTATTGGGTCTACTGAGTCCTTTCCTAGCGCAGGAGTAAAGTGTTTGTTGTGTTGTACTTTCTATATGTCCTTACACTCAATAATGTGTTAGAATATTATCACTAGATCGGGTATGGTGTCTACCTTATTTCCCTCATCCAAATACCTGGAAGTCCAGTTCAACTCTGAGATTTATTAAAAGCACTTTTATTTCTTTAAAAAAATGGGAATGTCCTTCTGCGCTCAATATGAATCAATCCCTATCCTAACAGCTGCTATCACTCTACCAATAAGTAATATAATACCACACACTAAAATAGTGAAGCGCTAAAATAAATCCCTATATATACATGATATGTAACATCAAAACTGTAATAATTACAAAATACCCTCAACATAAAAATAATTTATCCGTGAGATATCTTAAATAAATAAATATATCATGAATAAACGTGACATAAATAACTCGTAATAATATAAACCCGTGATTAAAAATAAATAACAAAATTAATATTCCCTTAATATTTCTTCAAATTAATCAGTGATATGAAATCAAAATCCGTGATTATAATAATCAATAATACAAAAATTAATATATATATCCGTGATAAATTGTGACAGACCTATAAGATTGGAATTAATACAACTGTGATTCTTAATCAAAATAAGTGATTATTAATTAATGTGACGAACCATATATCAAAATATTCAATAGAAAATAAATTGTATATTAAATCTTTTATTTCTTTCCTGCTGACAACACTAGTAGCAAAAGTGTATACTATCTAAAATGCAAATTTATTTATAGGTTGTCAGTGAAGAATAAAGCATGTGTCAAATGAAGACGTAGTCCTATATTTTCTTTCTTTGCAGTATTTTCATATTTAAACATATAAAAAAACAAATCATTACAATATATAACATAACAAACATTACCTTCTGAATCTTCATCCAGTTCTGCCAGTGTATCTTGGAACTGTGTAGTGATGAACATATCCTCATCGCCACTTCGTACTGAGGTCACTTCATCTTCTACCCGAGTTGAACTTAAAAAAGAAAAAAAGTATTTTAGTACATTTTTTCCTGTGTATGTGCCACGCTTTTCTGCTTCATGTAACATTTTGTATTAATATACTTTTAAAAGTTTGGAATATAACAGTCAAGCATGTTAAACAATTCAATTGTTATAGTCGAAGTTCATCCAAAACCAGTAATGAAGTTGTGGATGGACTTTAGATGGTTAGTCTGATTACACATTCCCTCAGAATCCTTGGGCAGATTTTCCCATAATCTTGGATCCTCTGAGGTATAGGAACCTACTATAGTTTGGTAATCTGTTTTTTTTTGTGGATCTACAGGCATCCATCACTTTAAATACTTAACTATTTTACTAACAAAAAAGTTACAGCAGTAAATTTAGCATTTGTGCTTGCCAATAGTAAGAATTTGAAGACGCTAAAACACTGAGAGAATAACACTGAGAGAATACTTCTTAAAACTTTGGGGAGCTTTAAATAGAGAGAAGATACATTTTAATAACTGACTTCACATCAGACAGTACATAAACATTTCCTCATGTGTCAGGCACATAAGGAGGGATAAGGAAACATTTCTCTCCGATAATGAATTCCTGACATGCTGCACATTTCTTCTAGTAGCAAGTTTAACACTGTAGTTAATTGTATTGTTGCCAACATCTACAATTTCCCTGCGTAACACAAACTAGAAAACTTGAGTAAAGTGGTTTGTCAAGGAAGTAACAGCTACATTGTAAAAGTCTTATGATGGTTACACTGATTGGCTAGTTTATTTGTGCCATCACTGTCTGCAGAAAAATGATCTATTTTTTTCAATATATGTATGTATTATAAATGTTATAAATTATAATTCTAAATTATTGAAGACGCTTTCCATAAGAAAGGTTACAAGGACAAAACTATCAACACCGGCATAAACACAGCCTTGAGAACCCGAAGGAAAATCTACTTCAGTACAAAGAGAAAAAAACAAACAACCGTGTACCTCTAGTAACCACATACAACCCTGGCACTAGAAGGGATAAGAAAAATAATCAAAGATTTACAACCCATCATAACAGAGGATGGAACTCTGAAAGAAATATTCCAGCAACCCCCAATACTGGCCTTCAGACAACCCCCCCAACCTCAGAAATAAACTAATTAGTAGGAAACTTCCTTCTGATTATGATGTCACAAATAATGGAAGCAAACCCTGCAACAAGAAACGCTGCAAGCTGTGCAACCAAATCAATCCATCAAAAAGTGTCAGACACTCAAAAGGGATCTTCAATATCTCTGGATCATACAGCTGCACCTCCAGTCATGTTGTGTACCTTATCCAGTGCAGAAAATGCAGCAAAGGATCTTATGTTGGCGAAACAGGACAGAAGTTGCAAACAAGGATGAATCTGCACAGACATACCATCAAGGAACATAAAGAAGATGACCTCTGCACACCTGTGAGACACCATTTCACACAACCAGGCCACACAATGGGAGACCTCAATGTTTTAGTTCTGAAAGGAAAATTCAAATCCATTCAGGAAAGAAAAACTTTTGAACTAAGAATGATAATTCTATTTGATACAAGAGATAACGGCCTTAATTTGGACATGGGATTCCTCAATAATTATCCAACAGTTTTTTGCCTATTAGCTAGCTTGACCCCCTCTGTGTGAGTGTAGTATCTATCCCCCCTCCCCCCTCCTTTTGCTGTATCTTATCTGTAGCCTTTTTTTTTTTTTCATCCCTTCTAACATTCTGCTTAAACTTTGTGATTTGTACAGTACTGCTTGGACCTGAAGAAGGGGACACACCCCGAAAGCTTGTCCTCAAAATTGTATGTTAGTGCAAATAAAAAAAGTATCACGGACAGTACTCAATTGTTTCTGTCGCAAATGCACTAATACAGCTACAATCAACTCAAGCAATTATAAATAAAAAAACACTTGCTTGGCAGGACTCACTTATGAATGAAGGTAATACTGGTATATTTCAAAAGGACAAAAAGTCCATATTTTGAAAACATAAGATAACTAGTGGTATTTATACACATTCAGATAGACTTGTTCTGTAATGTTGAAGACATTTTGTAGCTAATTTAGTTCTATTTGGTGTCAGGAACATACCCCAGCATTTATAGCTACACTAAGGAATCCAATTACCATTCAACGTGTCAAAGAAGCTGTTGATTGCCTGAGAAAAGAATAGCACAATCAGCATCTGCCTTGACACATTTCATGGAAATGGGATTAGGGTGATTAAATAACCTGTGAGAATACAAATGCTTGGGTATGTTCCTGACACTCATAAGAACAGAAGAAGTGGCTTCAACATTTCAGTATCTGTTATCAGTCATCAGGAGAGAGAAAGGAGTGTCCCCACAACCGGGGGTGGTCCTGCTCTGAAAGTCTGGGGGGAGGGCATGTGGCTCTTTAGTCAAGTTCTCTCCCTCCCGTGGGTTCACCCTTCCGGGGAGCACCACCTAGTACTTGGGTTGGCCTTGCTTCACCAGGCCTCCCTAATTAAGGGGTCCGCCTGGATTAACCAGAGGTGGACCAGTAAGTAGACCAACAAAGAGATTTGTGAAAAGAGATTCACAAGAAAGCGGCTACATTATGGACAGAATGTGATACTCAGAAACATTTCCCAAAATTATGCTTTATTACACATTAATAATTGACAATCGGGCAATCGCCCTGGTTTACCATCACCTCAGTATGAGACAATACACACAGACCTAAAACCATTTAAAATCACACCAAGACCGATTTTAAATGGTTTTAGGTCTGTGTGTATTGTCTCATAAACAAATCTCTTTGTTGGTCTGCATATTTTTTGGCTACTGGATGGAAGCCATATATTGGGTGATACAGTAATTTATATTTGAACCTCTAAACCTATTTTTTACTAACTGTGGACCAGTAAGTACCCCAGTCCCTGTCAGGAGCTTTGCACCCCAGGGAATCAACTCTAGGGTCCTTTCTCTTCAGAGGAGGACCATGTGTACACCCTATGCACTTTCTGTGCTTCACTTTTTGTGTGGTCATTCTTTGCACTGGGTGGTACGTTTTGCAAGTATGTTTCACTACACCATGGGACATAAAATAAAATCAGTAAAAGTACAATTGAATGTGACTAACTACAATTAATTATATCATGACCTGGATAAATAAATGAGAACCTTCACAAAGCTATTATAAAAATTTTAAAGTAGTATAAACACCCCCAAAATAACCCCCTTTTTGGAGAGTAGACACCCCAGAATGATTGCATTGTTTGCATAATTATTTGGAAATTGAGACACATGCTGGTATTGAGGTGACCAGGGGTGGACTGACCATTTGGAAACTCGGGCACTGCCCGAGGGCCCGGGGTCAGTAGGGGGGCCCATGAGATGCCCCTGGTACCTTTTTCATAGGCTTTTTTTAGTTTTGGCAAGGACACAGGGGCCCCATGATCCCCTATTGCCCGGGGGCCCCATGAGTTGTCAGTCCGCCCCTGGAGGCGACTAAAACACGGAGCTAGGTAACAATGCACTACAAGCTATACACAGAAGAAAGTGATGGAAGGGTTAATGCACAGGTCACATACAAAGGGAGGATGGAAATGAGGGGTTTATTGTGCAGATGTGCAGGATAAGGGAGATGAAGTGGAAAATATATAGGTCACTGGAGGGACAGTATGGGGATCAGATGCATAGGAGAGGAGGGGAGGGTCTCAAAGGGTTCAAAACATTACTTGCATCTGCTGCAGATGTGTTTTCCAAAGTGATCAGAACTAATGAATGACTGTTGTGAAAGGAAAGGGAGGGCTCACAGATGTAAATATTACACCATTTACACCTGTGATTGGTCTCTCTTTGAGCAATTGCAGTGATCTCATGGTACAGAGCAGCTCAGATCGACTTTGTAAAAAGTGTTTATAAATAGCACTGCAAAAATAAATAAAATTTAAAGACATACGGCGGTAGGTAAGTGGTTAAATTTACTTCCAGGTCAACTTGTAACAGGCTTAGTTTACAATGTTATTTTGTTTTCTTTTCTGTTATAAGCTGATATTTCTTTTTTCATGCTGGGAAACAGGAATGCAGTTGAAGCACACTGCTCTTTAAGGTCAATTTCTACAAAGTACCATACAACAAAGCATTGTTTTGGCTTCAAAATTCAGCACATTTCATAAACACAATTTAACATTCCATTTCATGCAGGTCTGGACTTAGAAGAAAACCACAGAAAACCGCATGGTTATCTTTGTTGATTGTACATCTTTGGCTGCCTCCCTGGAATAATGTATGCTTTATTCTGCTATCAAGTTCAACATATGAAGTAGTAGTGATTGCATTTTATTGCTATAATTTTTACAACGATTTTTGAAACCTTAACTCCTTAACTCCTACAACTTTCAGTTGTAGTCACAAAATGACTGTCCCTTAAACATTTCTGAAAGAAGATCCTAAAACACTTTGATTAAACTATGGCTGTGGCCTATTTAAAGTACAAATAAAGGTTCCTTCATGATTGTTTGAACATGTTTGAACAAGTACCAGATCAGGGGCGGACTGACAACTCATGGGGCCCCCGGGCAATAGGGGATCATGGGGCCCCTTTGTCCTTGCTCAAACTCAAAAAAGCCTATGAAAAAGGTACCAGGGGCATCTCATGGGGCCCCCTACTGACCCCGAGCCCTCGGGCAGTGCCCGAGTTTCCAAATGGTCAGCCCGCCCCTGTACCAGATCCAGTTACTATGGGATGCACAAGCCTCAGAAAATAAACAGAAAACCTCTTTACCTTCCCTAATGAGCCATATTCAAATAAATCCCACATGGCCCCCTTCCAGACACATTGGGGAAAATTTGCTAAAACTGGTGCATTCAGAATCTGGTGCAGCTGTGCATGGCAGCCAATCAACTTCTAACTTCAGCTTGTTCAATTAAGCTTTGGCAATAATGCAGGCCATAGATGGGGAAAAAAACTGGCTGATTTTTAAAAAAAAAAAAAACGAAAAATCGGTCGTTCAAGCGGCCTACGTTACCAGGCACGGTAAAAAAAAAAAAAAAAAAAATCGGCCGATTTTCATCCCGTCTACAGCCGGCAAAAAGTGTCCCTGCAGAGAGCTCTGCTATTTCTTTGACAGTTCCTTGTCATTTATAGCGGTTGCAACAATGTATCTATTTGTATCCATTTAGGATACAGACGTTTTTATTTGGAAACAAATAGATACATTGTTGCAACCGCTATAAATGACAAGGAACTGTCAAAGAAATAGCGGAGCTCTCTGCAGGGACACTTTTTGCCGGACTGGAATTCCATCTTCTTCATCCTCTTCTTCATCTTCTTCTTCTTCATCCTCTTCTTCTTCCTCTTCTTCTTCAGCCTCTTCTTCAGCTTCTTTAGCCTCTTCTTCAGCTTCTTCATCCTCTTCTTCATCCTCTTCTTCTTCTTCCTCTTCTTCATCCTCTTCTTCTTCTTCATCCTCTTCTTCTTCTTCATCCTCTTCTTCTTCTTCTTCCTCTTCTTCCTCTTCTTCTTCTTCCTCCTCTTCTTCTTCTTCTTCCTTATCTTCTTCTTCATCCTCTTCTTCTTCTTCTTCATCCTCTTCCTCTTCTTCATCCTCTTCTTCTTTTTGTCTCATGCGCAGATTTTTTATCGGTAAAAAGATCGGCCAATTTGCCCATAATTGCCGCGAAAATCGGCCGATCTGCAAAATCGGACGATTTTTTTCCAACTTTACCGATAAAAAAAATCTGCCAAAATACCGAAAAATGGCCGAACAATTAGCCCACTAACGATTCGAAAATCGCCCGACTTTATTTTCGGCCGAAAAATCGGCCGATTTTCGACCCATCTATGGCCTGCATAAGACCTGGAAGATGATTAGTTTCTATGCTGAGTTGCAACAAATTTTTTTCACTCTCTAGTTTTTACTAAATAACCCCCACATGTCACAGAGGGAGGGTTGGGAGCAACGACCTAGTCAGGCTGGATCAACACCGCCTCCTGACAATCCACAGGCTTGTGAATCAGCAGTGATAGTGCACCACACATTTTTTCATCCCACGGTAGTGCAGGTAGACAAAGTCTATAATAGAATGGCAACTCTATTCTGAATTCTGAATAGTGCAGCATCATGTCAGCACCATCACAGGAAGATTTAATGTCAGCATCAACATGCATTTGTGGGACTTTGCAGGGGGACTAAGATAAATCTGTACGTGCATGTGTACTTATAATTAACCACCTCCCGCCCGCCATATAGTCCAATGAGGGACGCAAGGTGGTTCTCTCGTTCTGGGAGGACGTCATATGACGTCCTCCCATTCTCCCGGCGCATGTGCGGCTCAGGGAGTGCGCAGCGCGGCGATCGGCGGTGCGCTGTGTCCCTCGGACACAGCGGATCACCGATCACGGAAAGAGCCAAAGATGTCGGCTCGGTCATGTGATCAGCTGTGTCCAATCACAGCTGATCACATGTAAACAGGGAAATGCCGGAATTTCTCTCCTCTCAAGCAGTCACGCTGACAGAGGAGAGGAGAGCCGGTAATTGGCTTTCCACGGAGGGAACATGTGCACTGATCATCAGGGCACTGATGATCAGTGTGCCCTGATGATCAGTGTAGCCCCAGCAGTGCCACCTGTCAGTGTCCATCAGTGCCTTGTGTCAGTGCTCATCAGTGCCTCGTGCCAGTGCCCATCAGTGCCACATATCATTGCCTACCAGTGCACATCAATGCCACATATCAGTGCTCATCTGAGCTGCCTTTCAGTGCCACCTATTAGTGCTGCCAATCAGTGCCACCTATCAGTGTGCATCAGTGCCACCTATCAGTGCCGTGTCAGTGCTGCCTATCAGTGTCAGTCAGTGCCGCCTAACAGTGCCAGTCAGTGCCGCCTAACAGTGCCAGTCAGTGCCGCCTAACAGTGCCAGTCAGTGCCACCTAACAGTGCCAGTCAGTGCTGCCTATCAGTGCCAGTCAGTGCCGCCTACCAGTGCTGCCTATCAGTGCCATATATCAGTGTCATGTATCAGTGCTGCCTTTCAGCGCCCATCAGTGATGCCCGTCAATGCCCATCAGTGCCACCTACCAGTGCCTCCTCATCAGTGCCCATCAGTGCCACCTGTCAGTATCCATCAGTGCAGCCTATCAGTGCCCACCACTGCAGCCTCATTAGCGTATATCAGTGAAGGAGAAAAATCACTTATTTACAAAATTTTATAACAAAAACTAAGAAAAAACATTTTTTTTCCAAAATTTTCAGTGGTTTTTGGTTTGTTTAAGAAAAATAAAAATCCCAGAGGTGATTAAATACCACCAAAAGAAAGCTCTATCTGTCACAAAAAAATGATAAAAATTTCATATGGGTACAGTGTTGCATGACCCGCGCAATTGTCATTCAAAGTGTGCTAGCGCTGAAAGCTGGAAATTGGCCTGGGGACAGGAAGGGGGTAGAAGTGCCCTGTAGGCAGGAAGGGGGTAGAAGTGACCTGTAGGCAGGAAGAAGGGGGTAGAAGTGCCCGGTAGGCAGGAAGGGGGTAGAAGTGCCCTGTAGGCAGGAAGGGGGGTAGAAGTGCCCTGTAGGCAGGAAGGGGGTAGAAGTGCCCGGTAGGCAGGAAGGGGGTAGAAGTGCCCTGTAGGCAGGAAGGGGGTAGAAGTGCCCTGTAGGCAGGAAGGGGGTAGAAGTGCCCTGTAGGCAGGAAGGGGGTTAGAAGTGCTCTGTAGGCAGGAAGGGCGTAGAAGTGCCCTGTAGGCAGGAATGGGGTAGAAGTGCCCTGTAGGCAGGAAGGGGGGGTAGAAGTGCCCTGTAGGCAGGAAGGGGGTAGAAGTGCCCTGTAGGCAGGAAGGGGGTAGAAGTGCTCTGTAGGCAGGAAGGGGGTAGAAGTGCTCTGTAGGCAGGAAGGGCGTAGAAGTGCCCGGTAGGCAGGAAGGGGGTAGAAGTGCCCTGTAGGCAGGAAGGGGGTAGAAGTGCCCTGTAGGCAGGAAGGGGGTAGAAGTGCTCTGTAGGCAGGAAGGGCGTAGAAGTGCCCTGTAGGCAGGAAGGGGGTAGAAGTGCCCTGTAGGCAGGAAGGGGGTAGAAGTGCCCTGTAGGCAGGAAGGGGGTAGAAGTGCCCTGTAGGCAGGAAGGGCGTAGAAGTGCTCTGTAGGCAGGAAGGGCGTAGAAGTGCCCTGTAGGCAGGAAGGGGGTAGAAGTGTCCTGTAGGCAGGAAGGGGGTAGAAGTGCTCTGTAGGCAGGAAGGGCGTAGAAGTGCCCTGTAGGCAGGAAGGGGGTAGAAGTGTCCTGTAGGCTAGTGGTTACGGGGTTTCAGCATATATGTTTTTAATGGGAGGCAATAGTTTACTACTATAATCAGTAGCTCTTCTGCTTTAGTTTTTTCCCAATCTGACTGCAATGTGAGAGAAAAAGAAAAATAAGCAATGTATTATCACTTTCATGCTAATTTTTATTCTGGATTCTAGATTTTATAACAATTTATAACACTACTGTGAATATTGTTAAGGAATACCTGGGAGCCTT